CCCTGTCTCAAAGGAAAAAGAGAGCGAGAGCGAGAGCGAGAGCGAGAGCGAGAGAGAGAGAGAGAGAGAGAGAGAGAGAGAGAGAGAACAAAAGGTTTAGAAGAGGATACAGTCTTTCACAGTCAGGTATGTTTTAAGGAGATGTTTGAGATGTGGGGTGTTATTTTTGTTTTGGGTTGTTTGCTTGTTTTTTTGTTGTTTTTGTTGCAGTTGTTTGTTTTTTTGGAGACAAGGTCTTAGCCAGAAAACTCTATGTAGGCTAGGCCGGTCTGAAACTCATAGAGATCCACCTGCCTCTGCTCAGGTTAAAAGTGGAGAGTATGTGCCATCATGCCCAGTGACATTTGTGATTTGCACCATCTTTTGACCTTGAGTGCTGTATCTCACTTAGTCCTAGAAAGAGCTAAAGATGGCCTTGTAGCTATCAAAAAACTTTAGTGTAAAGAGTTTTCTTTTGCAATTTTTATGGAAAACTGCCTGTTTTCCTCTCATTAATGTTTTATTTGCTCTGATGCTGGGCTAATGATAAGACCTTGTGAGCCTGAAATTGGAGGCTGATTTTATGGGACATTGATAAGATGGAGAGCACAGTGGGTACCAGAATCATCTCCATGTGAAGTAGCACTCGGAGGTATAGAGGGGCCTTAGTCAGGAAGACAGTTGGCCTTTCCTGGTGCACCCATGTTGTTCAGTGCCTACAGAGATCAGAGAAGGGCATCAGATCCCCTGGAACTGGAGTTTCGGACAGTTGTTAGCCACCATGTAGGTGCTAGGAACTGAACCCAGGTTCTCTGCAAGAGCAGCCAATGTTTTTTGTTTTTTGGGTTTTGGGGGTTTTTTTTGGTCTTTTTTGAAACAAAGTTTCCCTATAGCCCTAGCTGGCCTGGAACTTACCATGTAGACCAGGCTGGCCTTGAACTCACAGAGATCCACCTGCCTCTGCCTCTCAAGTGTTGGGACTACAGGTGTGTACCACCATACCTGCCCCAGCCAATGTTCTTAACCACTGAGCCATCTCTCCAGGCCCACCTAGAGATTTTATTATATTATGTGGGGATCCTAGATATGGAGTTACTGGCTTATAACTGGATAAGTGAGAAAATCCCATAGCAGAGACCACCCCACCAAAAGTCTTGAAGAGTCTGCAAAGTTGGCCTTCATTATGGAGTTAGAATTAATGTTTCTTGCTGGTCATGACAGCACATGCCAAGAAACAAATTGCTGAAAAGGAGAAGGCAAGAAAATCATGAGTTCAAGGCCAGTTGTCACTATACCTGAAAAAAAGGGAAATGAAATAAATGTTTCTCCATATTGGCATGACAGTAGCAGGTTTTCAGTATTTTTCTGTCCTCATGTCTGAGATGAGGACTTAGGAACAGAACCAGGGCTTAGAAGATATAACTTATCTTTTTTAAAAAAATACTTTATTTTTATTTATGTGTATGAGTATATTTTCTGCATGTATGTAAGTGCACCCATGTCATGCAGTGCCCACCAAGGTCAGAAGAGGGCGATGAATTCCCCTAGAACTGGAGTTACAGACCATTGTTAGCTTCCATGTGGGTGCTGGGAATGTAATAAATTGTAAAAGGCCAATTAGCCAGACATGATAGTGCTTATAATGCCAGGACTTGAGAGACAGTGGCAGGAAGATTGCAAGTTTGAGGCCAGCTTTAGCTATGTAATGAGTTCCAGGCCAACCCTGAGCTGTATTGCAAGACTGTGGCAAAAAGGAAAAAAAGTTAAAATACCCCATAGTATATTGATGAAGAACGGATTACTGGCAACAATTATAGTTGGTTTTTCTTCTACTTAGTATTTACATCATTAGTCACATTTACTGAATTGTTGTATTTTATTTATTTATTTTTTTTATTATTTATTTATTTATTTGTCTTTTTTGAGACAGGGTCTCCCTGTAGCCCCAGCTGTCCTGGAACTCACTATGTAGACCAGGCTGGCCTTGAACTCACAGAGATTCGCCTGCCTCTGCTGCTTGAGTGCTGGGATTAAAGGCGTGCACCACCATGCCTGGCTAAATTGTTCTATTTTAAAAGTACTATTTGAGTGGCTAGAGAAATAGCTCAGTGGTTAAGAGCTGCTTTTGAAGAGGACCTGGATTCAGTTGCTAGCACCCACATGGTGGCTACCAACTGTCTGCAACTACAGTTTCAGGGGATTCAACACTTTCAGCAGGCATTGCACAGTTGTGGTACACTTACATACATGTAGGCAGAACACTCACACACATTGAAATTTTTTAATGTTATTTGAATTATGTAGGCAGCAGCAATTTTTGTTTTGGTTTGGTTTGGTTTTGTTCTTTTTGAGACAGGGTCTCCCTGAAACCCCAGTTGGCCTGGAACTCACTATGTAGGCTAAGCTGGCCTTGAACTTACAGAGATCCCCCTGCCTCTGTCTCCCAAGTGCTGGGATTAAAGGCTCCCGCCACCAGGCTGGAGAGATGGCTCAGCAGTTAAGAACACTGGTTGTTCTTGCAGAAGACCTGGGTTCAAATCCCAGCACCCACATGGTAGCTAACAAGTGTCCGTAACACCAGTTCCAGGGCAGCCTCTTCTGTCCTTCGGGGGCATTGTACGACATGGGTGCACTTAACCTACACACAGGCAATACATGCATGTAGATAAAATAAAAATAATAAAGTATTTTTTTAAAGTCACATGCCACCATGCCTAGCTTGTTTTTGTTTTTTTATTTATTATTTTTATTTTATGTGTATGCGTGTATTGCCTGCGTGTAGGTAAGTGCACCTGTGTCGTGCAGTGCCCAAGGAGGACAGAAGAGGCTGTCGCATCCCCTGAAACTGGAGTTATGGACAGTTGTTAGATGCCATGTGGTTGTTGGGATTCAAACCTAGGTCTTCTGCAAGAACAGTCAGTGTTCTTAACCGCTGAGCCATCTCTCCAGCCCCCGCTTGTTTCGTTTTTTGAGACAGAGTCTCCCTGCAGTCCCTCTGGCCTAGAACTCACTATATAGACAGGCTGGCCTCCATCTCTGTGACATCCTCCTGCCTCTGCCTCCAGAATGCTGGAATTAAGGTCATGTACTAGCTACCATGCCCATCTTAGGCAGCTTTATTTGTTTATTTATTTTTATTTTAGGTATATGAGTGATTTGGTTTTAGTTTTTCTGGGACTTGAAAGAAAAGGAAGTAAGCCATTGGTACCAGGTCCCACAGTATTTAAGGACCCTCTCCAGTTGTGTCCACTAGGTCCCTGTATTTTGAAGAAAAGATGAACTTGTCCTGTTGGCACTCAGTCAGGTGCATGAGGGTCAGACTCCATGTTAATTATTAATCGTGAGGAACTTTCAATGGTGATTTATAGCTGAGTGCTTTTCACAGTGTCTCTCTATGGTTCAGTAGTAGTCCATAAGCTTTGAAGTGGGCATCTAATGATGTGCTTATTAAAACTATAGATTCCCAAGCTCCAGCTACACAGAAATTGATTCAGCAGGTTTGTGTTTGAACCTACAAATCTGCATTATTATTATTATTATTATTCATTATTATTATTATTATTAAAAACATTGTATTGCTTAGATCTAGAAAAGATGAGAAGAGCCAGTCTGACCTAGCATGGCAGAAGGAGAGCTAACAGAGTCAGGCTGTGTGCTTGCCCCAGCTCAGCCAACAGCCTCTTTAACCGCTCTGAGCTTCAGTTTCTCCATCCATAAAATGAAGAAATCTGGATTAACTGTTAGGTTCTTTTCAAATTCAAGATCTCAGCTATGTATACCTATCCCTCCTAAATAAAGCCTCAACTGTAGTCAAACAAGGATTATTTTCCCACTGAATAACCCATATTTAGGCTGCTCTTTTGCTTTTCTGTTTCGTTTGGTTTTGGTTTTGGAACAGGATCTCCCTGTAGCCAGCTAGAACTTACTATGTAGACCAGGTTGGCCTCAGTTTCACAGACATCTGCCTGCCTCTACCTCCAGAGAACTGAGATTAAAGGCATGAGCCACCACACTAGGCTCTTTTAACTATTTTTTTTCTGTTTTATTCCCTGCCTCCCCCCGCCTTTTTTTCCTGAGACAGGGTTTCATGTAGGCCAGGCTGTCCTCAGACTCATTATGAGGCTAAGGATAACCTTTAGCTGATGAGCCTCCTGCCTTTCCAGGTGCTAAGATTACAAACATTGGCCATGGTGGTTTTAATGCTGTTCATCCCATGCCTTTACTAATTTCTGCCATCTAAATTGACAATTTCATTATCTCTAATATAGTTCAGTGCTTCAGTTGCTGGGCTTATAAATTAGATTATAATAACATCATTGAAGGGAGAGACTATTTTATACATCTACTAAGCACATAAGTAAATATTTGTAGATTAAGCTTCCATTTCCATCCTAGCTCACAGAAAATAGGAACTGGCTGAAAGCTTTTTTAAAAAATATTAGTTTGGAGGCTGGGTGTGGTGGTGCATACCTTTAATCCCAGCACTCAGGAGGCAGAGGCAGGGGGATCTCTGTGAGTTCAAGGCCAGCATGGTCTACATAGTGAGTTCCAGGCAGAGGCAGGCAGATCTCTGTGAGTTCAAGGCCAGCATGGTCTACATAGTGAGTTCCAGGACAGCTGGGGCTACAGGGAGACCCTGCTTCAAAAAGACCAAAAAAAAAATTATTTTTATTTTATGTGTATGTGTGTATTGCCTGCATGTAGGTAGGTGCACCCATGTCATGCAATGCCTGCACAGTTCAGAAGAGGGCATCAGATCTGGAACTGAAGTTACAGGTCCTCTTCAAGAGCAGCCAGTGCTCTTAACCATTGAGCCATCTGGCTGAAAACTCTTAGGACAAGTAGGGGATGAGAGTGCTTTGGTAGAAGTTGATGGTATGTGTTGAGGAGGGTGCTTTTGTTAAGTGTATCCAAGGTAGTGTGCACTTACCAGAGAATATCCTTCAGAGCTTTTCTACAAAATTGCTCTGTGGTCTTTCCAGCCATCCTGTAACACTGGTTTCTCTTTTTGTTTCTTGCAGTTTTCATCCTTTTCTTCTATAAGCTGTCACCATGACCCTGACAAAAGGTTCCTTCACTTACTCCAGTGGGGAGGAATACCGTGGCGAGTGGAAAGAGGGTGAGGAGGACCCCTGGGGGTATCCAGTGATAAGCACTTCCTTTAGCAAAAGGGCAAAAAAATATGCTAAGGTAGAGAGCCAGCTCCATCCATCTTTATTCCCCATGGCAAGACTCAACTCCACATAGTACCTTTCCTTTAGTCTATTTCAGAACTAAGTAAAGGAGCTAGAAAAATGCTAGTGTTGGGGCTGAAGAGATGGCTCAGGTTAAGAGCACATACTGCCCTTGTAGAGGACTTCAGTTCATTTCCCAGCATCCATGTTAAGTACTTCACAGATGCCTGTAACTCGCGCTCCAGGGAGGGGATCCAACACCTTGGACTTCCGTGGGCACCTGCATTTATATGCACATACCCACAGACAGGCAGACATTTAAAAAAAAAAAAAAAAAAAGCTGTGAGGTCTGGAGAGGTGGCTCAGTAATTAAGAGCACTGGCTGCTCTTGCAGAGGACCCTGGTTCAGTTCCCAGCACCCACACTGTGGCTAACAATGGTTTATAACTCTAGTTCCAGGGGATCCAATGCCCTCTTCTAACCCCTGCAGGTATTGCACACATGTAGTATACTACATAAACTCAGGCAAAAAAATTTGTACACGTAAAATAAAAATAAAGTAAATAAAAATTCTAGTGTTGATCCTACTTCCAGAAATGAGTTAAATCTTCCCTAGATTTACAGTGTTTAAATTTCATTTTTCCTTTTAGTGTATTATCTTAAATGTGAATGTACCCAGCAGAACAAAATTAATGCTTTAGAGTACAAATCAGAGAGTACAGAATTCACTGCAATGACTTGATTTCAGAATCTTTTTTTGTATGTGTGTCTTTCTGAGACAGGGTCCCCTGTAGCCCTGGCTGGCCTAGAGCTCTCTATGTAGATCAAACTGACCTCGAACTCACAGAGATCCGCCTGTTCTGTCTCCTAAGTGCTGGGCATGCACCACCACACCCCACTTGAACTGATTACTTCTACCTGTAATGAGCTGTAATAGGAGGCTCACAGCAGTGAATGTCACTTGTTCTTGACTGTCTCTGTTAATTTCTAGACCTTCCTTAACTTCTTAAGATTCCAAAATTGGGCCAGGCATAGTGGCCTATGCCTTTAAATCCCAGCACTTAGGAGGCAGAGGCAGGTGATCTCTGTGAGTTGGAGGCCAACCTGGTCTGCATTAGAGAATTCTAGGCAGGGGCTACAGGGAAAGCCTGTCTCAAAATGACAAAAAAAAAGAAAAGAAAAGAAAAGAAAAGAAAGAAAGAAAGAAAGAAAGTAATCAATTCACAGAAATAGCAGAATTCTTTGGAACTGTGAACTCTGTTGGAAACTATACCAGAAGTAGTTTAATGATGTTCAGTTTGGAAACCCAACCTGGCCACTTTAGAGTCTCATGGGTTCAGTCCTAGCAAGCCAAGAACTGCCTCAAGGAGACTGGGCTTTCCACACTCAACAGAGGTGAAGGGCAGTTCACATTGTGGCCAGACCTATGCCCCAAGGAGACTGGCTTTCCAGCACTCACAGAGGTGAGGGGCAGTTCATACTGGGGCCAGGCCTGTGCTCCATTCTTTCCACATAAAATCTCTGTAGCCAATAAACTCTTGAGCCTTTAGAAATTCTGCATTTTGACTTTACCTCCTTCTATCCCAAACCTTTTCTCCTGGCTCCCAAACTGATGTCCCTTTTATTATGGCCTTTAAGAGGAAACACATCCTGAGACTTTGCTAGGCAGTATATGCCCAAAAGAACTCCCTTGTACTCTCTGAAGGGCAGTATTGCTCCCAGCATCTTGGTCAGGTTAGTGAATAAGTATGGCCCTATAGATAGAATGGAGCCCAAACAAGTGCTGCCAAACAGGTTATTAGGTTTACCCTGAGGCTGCATGATGCTAAGGGGCACTTTAATTTTTCTCCAATAAGCAACATAGGTAAAGGTAAACAGGGCTGGTGAGTCAGACCACCTTGCTGCATTTACATTCTTGCCATGTGTATCACATAGAGCTCTGAGATCTTGAGTAAGTTATTTGGCTTCTCCTTTCTTCTCCCATCTATTGAATAGGAATAATGATAGTACTGTGTCCACCTCCTAAGATCGTCATGAGGATAAAATAAACTGATAAACACAAAGATGGCTTAGAAGAGTGGCTACCACAGAGTGAAGGCACTGTAAATAAATGTTAGTGTTGTTTTAAACATGTTCTTGTTCCAACTTGGAGATGTTAGTTCCAAATCTAGTGGTTGTCACTAAGATCGGAGGTCCCAGGAGCCACCCAGCTTGGCCCTGCTAGTGCCACCACATCTTTTCTTTCTTTTATGGGTAAGGTGATAGCAAGTGTGGGCTGCTAAACGAGAGAGAAGGGACCTGAAACTGCCTCTTCCAACCTGGCACCTGGCCTTCTCTTTACCCAGGACGCAGACATGGTTTTGGTCAGCTGATGTTTGCAGATGGTGGCACCTATCTGGGTCACTTTGAGAATGGACTCTTTAACGGCTTTGGGGTACTGACCTTTTCAGATGGCTCAAGGTGAGTATTAAGTCATTCCTTTCTCAGCCTATTTTTTGTGAACCAATGAGTTTTATTGGGATTACTTACAGGAGTATGAGTGAGGGATTACTTAAATGACTCAAAGACAGCTGAACCACTAAAAGCCACCCCCAGCATGGGTGACAAATCACAAAACCTGGAAACCTGGAGCACACTGCACAACCTGCAGGCAGCTCAACAAGGTGGACAGTGTCCTTTCCAGGAAGCTCATGGTCTGAGCCTCTTCCAGACAGCTCAAGTACTCTGCATCTTCCAGGAAGCTAATCTGCCTCTTTCAGGATGCTTAGCTGGTCTGAGAATCCTTTCTCAGCCTTTTTACTAGAGAAGCTCTGGTATAAAAATGGGGCATTGGTGACTGTCTGTTCAACCCTGAGCTCTTCCCAGTCAGTCCCTGAAGAAAACAGACAAGGGGTAAGTAGTTCTTTTATTGATTACTTTTAGATTTTTTTTTTTGGTTTTTTTGAGACAGGGTGTTCCTGTAGCCCCAGCTGACCTGGAACTTGCTATGTAGACCAGGCTGGCCTTGAACTCACAGAGATCCACCTGCCTCTGCTTCCTGAGAGCTGGGATTAAAGGCATGTGCCACCACACCTGGCCAATTATTTTTACATTTTTTTTGAATTATATTTTGTTTATTTTGTGTGTGCAGGGAGTGTGTGTGCTGTGGTACACATGTGAAGGTCAGAGGAGTAGGTTCTCTCCTTCCACCATGTGGGTCCCCAGGAATAAACTCAGGTCATCAGGATTGGAAGCAAGCTCCTTTACCCACAGATCCATCTTGCCAACCAATATTGATTACTTTTAAAATTGATGTAAGAAGGCTGGGTATGGTGGCACACACCTTTAATCCCAGCACTTGAGAGGTGGTGACAGGAGGATCTCTGTGAATTCAAGACCAGCCTGGTCTACATATTGAGTTCTAGGCAAGCTAACACTACATAGTGAGAACCAGTCTCAAAATTAATTAATCAATCAATCAATTAATTAATTAATTAAATAGATGTAAAAGCCAGACATGGTGATACATTTCTGTGATACCAGCAGAGGTAGGAGTATCTTGAGTTTGAGGCCAACCTGGAGGCTACATAGTCAGTTCAGAGCCAATCTGGGCTATATAACAAGACTCTGTCTCTAAATCAAACAAACAAATAATAAATCAAATTAAATAGATGTAAAATTGGAAATGTCAAGGAGGTGAGTGACCTTCTACTCTACCTCCATTCACTTCTTTTTTTTAATTTTTACAAAAACTTTATTGAGAATTTCATACATGTATATAAGGTGTTTTGTTCAAATCCATGCCCACTCCCTCCCCTCCAACATTCCCCCCTCTGAAGAGGTAACCCTAAAATCTTTTAAGGATTAGATACAAGCTCCACTTAAATTCTTTCCCTGAATTTAGGACCTTGTATACATAGCCTCTGATCCTTCTCTGCTGCTTGGGTATGGGGTAGAGGTGGGGTGGATGGAGCTCTGAACTGGGCAAAATGAGCTTTGCTTTGTGCCATTACTAATGCACACATTGGCAACTGCTTGCCTCAGTTAACCTGGACTATGAATGGCTAACATCTTGGTGTCTCTGCAGATATGAGGGAGAGTTTGCCCAGGGCAAGTTTAATGGTGTTGGAGTCTTCATTCGACATGACAACATGACCTTTGAGGGGGAATTTAAGAATGGCAGAGTAGATGGTTTTGGTAAGTTTCAGCTCAGTAGGATGGTAACTTAGGTGACTATAATATGAGTGGTAATACACCTATTTTTATTATTATTATTTTTATGTGTATGAGTGTATTGTCTGCATGTATGTGAGTACACCCCTGTCATGCAATGCTGTGGAGGTCAGAAGAGGGCTTCAGATTCCCCTGGAACTGGAGTTAAGGATGGTTGGTAGCCACCATGTGGGTGCTGGGAATCGAATCCCGGTCCTCTGCAGGAGCAGTCAGTGCTCTTAGCCGCTAAGCCACCTCTCCAGCCATGGTAATATACCTTCTTAATTTTAATGCTCCTGTGGCTATCTAGCAATCCATAGTGACTGCCCTACCTGTGACTTTTTCTCTTCTTCAGCCTCTACACATCAAGCTGATCTGAGACATTAATGCCATGCTCATATTGTCTCCCGGTTTTCTCTTTTGTCCTCAAAGGCCTGCTGACTTTCCCTGATGGTTCTCATGGAATACCCCGCAATGAAGGTCTGTTTGAGAACAATAAGCTGTTGAGGCGTGAGAAGTGTTCTGCTGTGGTTCAGCGGGCCCAGAGTGCCTCCAAGTCTGCCAGGAACCTCACTGTCTGATGGAGCTTTGGGCATAGTTGGAAAAACATCTGAAAATCAAAATCCCCTTGTTCACTTTAGGTGAACAAATAACCAGATATGAGCATGACCCTGGTGCCAAAGCCTGTGAGGTGTTCCACCACCTGCCAGTCAGGAATACAGTCACAGAAAAGTGTGGAGAATTTTGGCCCTCAGATCCCACAGCAGTTGTGTGCTTCCCTGACCCTTCTGTGCTAGAGAACAGGAACTGCCTCTTCTTTGTTGGTACTTCCTGCTCCTAAGACCTTGGGTTACCCATGCTGTGGTCTTCACGCCATTTGCTGTCAATGAAATAGAATCTCTTCATTTTGCCTACACTTGGGGCAGATGATCCGAGCCTCGACTTAGGGCCAGTCCTACGTGCTGGAGAAATGAGGAAGAATATAGGGGTGGCTTAGGTAGAATAGTGCTGTTCAATCAAAGCCTGAGCTCTTCTGGAGTCTGCTTCAGGCTGGTCTTTGTCTGTGCTTATTCCCCCTGTGAAGGATTCAGTAAAAGTACTGTTTTCTTCTCCCTCGATGTTATAAACTGTGTTCCTAGTCTGAGTTACAGCAGGTGATTCAATCCCCATTTGTGCCTCTTTCTTCCCTTAGATATCAGACAGGATCCCTTTATGGTAAGAAACTAATGTAAAAGCAAATGTGTAACTTGTATTCATTACTGACCCCTGGGCAAAGCGTAGACCTCCAAGGCCCCTTCAGGCCTCCCATGGAGTGACCTGAAGGCTTAAGCTGAGGGTTCTTTCCCAGTGCATCAATGAATCAGACTCACAGCCCCTTGGGTGCTGGTACACTTAGGCTCCTCTTAGGCTTGTATGAACTGAGCATTTGCTCCTCACATTTGGCTCATTAACTCTTCAAGCAAGAGCCTTGGCCTTTAGGTCTGTGACAGATTTTCTTGCTAAGATCATCACAAGCCTTCCATTTAGCGCAGGTTCCAGCCCTAGCCCCAGCTCTCTCACCGAATCTCCCTCAACAGCAGACTAGTGGAACTTATAGCCGTGTGCCTCTATTTATTCTTTGAACTGCACTGTAGAAACAAGTGTTTATAGAAATAAACCAAACACCAGAACTGCCTACACTTAGTGTTCATGTCTTTCTGGCATTGGGTCCTCATGTATATCAACCTGTTTGCTATTTGAGGAAAGTAATCAGAGAGGGACTTGGAGCTGATACTGAACACTTTTATATGATGTCATCCATTTCTCAGAACCTCCATGGAGGAGCTAGAGAGATAGCTTAGTAAAGTGCTTGCTATGCAAGCATGAGGACCTCAGTTTGATCCCTAGTACCCATGTAAAAAGCTTGGCATGTTGGTGCATGCTTGAATCTCTCTGGGGAGGTAGACAGAGTATCTCTGGGGATTAATGATCAGCCAGCCTGGCTTAATTAGCATGCCCCAGATCCCAAGGTGGACAGCTTCTGAGGAATGACACCTGAGGTTAAACACACACACACACACACACACACACACACACACACACCCTCTGTAGAGTAGAAGGTATGAATTAAATTTTTTTTAATTTATATTTTATGTGTTTGAATGTTTTGTGTGCATGTATATAAGTGCAGCCCTGTGTGTGCACAATGCCTGTAGAGGTCAGAAGAGGGCATTGGATCCTCTGGAACTGGAGTTAGAGACAGTTGTTAGCTGCCATGTGGGTACTGGGTTCTCTGTAAGAGCAGCCAGTGCTCTTAACTGCTGAATCATCACTCCAGCAATGAAGGTGTAAACTTTGTAGGACCAGGCAGGCTCATTTTGTCCAGCCTAATAAATGACAGCTGGGTAGGGTTTCTGTCTTCTTTCTAATCCCAGCTCCCTTTCCATTGGATACCTCTCAACCTGAGCATGAGTATGCAAAGCCTAAGACCAGTCATTACAAGCCCTACTAGGTGACTTCAAGCAAGTCAACTTCTGCCTGAGCTTCCATTTTTCTGCAGCAAGCAGAGTAGTAGAGCACCCCACCATACTAGCTTACTCGTGTGCAGTCTTACCTCAGTCCTCACCACAGCTCCAGAAGATACTGTTATCCAGATTAGGCTCTGGGAAGTTAGGTTGATACCTCAAGGTCCTATAGATACAAGGGGCCCCTAGAGCTAAACCTAAGCCTGTTGAAGCCCAGAGGCTGGGCTCTTAGCTGGCTTTATAGGCTGCTTCCCCCTACCCCCAGCCCTAGTATTTTCTTTCAGCCTAAGCCTATTTCTCCACTCTGGAAGATGCCTGTGAAAGGAGCCCAGGAGCCAAGCCCCAAGTTTTCATGCCATCAGGTCCCCAGTTTCAGTTGGAGCTTATTTTGTATGGTCTTTTCTAGCCTCTGCCCCAAACAGGGATCTATTCTCTTTTTAATGAGAAATTTTAAAATTTCATCACTGAAATGAATTGAACATTTTAGAAAGGCCAGTTTTTTGTATTTTGTTTTTAATTCTAAATATCTCAGCTGGGGCCCTTTTGCCACTTATTCTCTGCCATTCAAACTTTCAGGGAGGCCGGGTGTGGTACCACAGGCCTTTTATCCCAGCACCTTGGTAGGCAGATCTCTGTGAGTTCTAGGCCAGCCTGGTCTACATAGTAAATTCCAGGCAAGCTATCAAAAACAAACAAATTCCAGACCCTCTCTCAGAAACAAAAGAAGAGCCTTGGCATAGTGGCATACACCTTTAATCCCCACACTGGGAGGCAGAGGCAGGCACATCTCTGTGAAATTGAGGTCAAGCCTGGTCTTACATACTGAGTTTTATGCCAGGTGGGGCTACAGGGAGACTGTCTCAGACAGAATAAGAAAACAACCTACAAAACCGTACTGAGGAGATAGCACAGGCAAAGAGCTTGCTACACACACACACACACACACACACAAAGACCTGGGTTCAATCTCTAGCACCTTCATAAAAAGCCAGGTGTTGTGTGCATGCCTGCAACCCCATTGCTGGGAGGTAGAGGCAGGCAGATCTTGGGAGCTTGCGTGACAGCCAGTCTGACCAAAAAGACAACTTGAGATCCACTGACAGACTTACACGGGCAATCATAGCTTCCTACATATGTATACATGTGTATGTGCGCACATAATAAAAAACATTAAACTGTCCTAGGCACCACTCTTCTAATGGCTGTTTGCTCAGCATTGCTGAGGCCTCAGTGGTGAGAAAAGGCCAACCCTGGGAGCTCTACTGCCTTTGGGAAGGTTCTTGGCATCTGGCTAGGAACTCTAGTACATAGGCATGTTTCATTCATTAAACTTTATTATAGTAATAAAGTAAAAATTTTAAACAATAAAAGAGAATGCCTTGTAGACAAGAGGATGATCCTGTCTCAGTCCAAGTCCCCAAGTTTCAGACCTGGACTGGTCCGAATAGTCTAGAATGTAGTCAGGTTGTCTATCCACCAGGTGTCATTATTTACCAGTTTGACAAGCCACTGGCCTGTACTGGTCACTCGGTGGGGGATCAAAGCTAGAGGCAAGAATATGAGATGAGTTAGAGTAGATTTATGAAAGGGTTTGGTGGCTGGAATGCAGCTTGGAGGCCTTTCAAAGACTAGTGATACTTCCCTGATCAGGTTTCCTAAGCTGCTGCTGGGGTCAAATGTGGGTTCTTAGGAGTAGCTCTGCTTCCAGCCATATCATGCTGATTCAGATGTCTAGCTCCAAGTCTGATGTAGTGGTCCCTTCAGTAACCAATTTCATTAGTTTCTAGCTGCACCCCCATCCTTCCCCTTAGGGCAGAGGAAAGCACCCACAGTAAAGAGACAAGAAATTGCTCCTTTCCAGTTGAAGGTCTCTAGAGACTCAGTGTCTAGGACACATATGTGAGAAGTCACAGGCTGTGAGAAGAGCTGAAAGCCACCTGGAATGGAGTGGAAAAGAAGCCCCTAATTCCTAATCCTCTTCAAGTTGTGGGAATAAGAGTCCCAGATAGCTCAGGCCAGGTGTCCCCTGTTTGTCATCAGAGCCAGCCATTGTTGCTGAAATCCATGCGCAGTGCCTCCTCCTCAGTGGGGCTCAGCTTCTGCAAGGGTGCGCGGCAGGGGCCTCCATAGAGGCCAAACCAGTCCATAGTTTTCTTCAGCCCGGGGATCCCAAAGCGCCGGGTCACCTGAGAAGGAGGGCTTGTTAGAAGAGAGGGCAGAACCCCCACCCTGCCTCTGACATACACCTGCCTGAGACCCAAGCATCCATTGCTTCCATAAAATTCCCACCTCCTCCCCAGCAAAGGAACTCTAACAAATCTGTGGTGCCCAGGCCACACTGGGAATCCAGATTTCAATACCACAAGCAGGTCTCAGACTGAAAGAAAGACTCAGATTGAGGAAAGAAGTTGCTTGCTTTTGTTTTAGGAGAAAATTCTCCAGTAAGAAAAATATCAGTCCTCGGTGGGATGGGAGGCTGGCATAGGCAGCTGGGGCACCAGAGCACCTGACCTGCAGTCAGGTCTCTGGAGCCTGAGCCACAGCACAGCAGGCCTAGGAAGTCAGGAAGGTGACTGTGATAGCCTTGGGCACAGCCAAGACACTCAGTTCCCCAGCATCAGGGTCCCCCATGCACCCATAGCTCCTCCCTGCCCTATTTAAATGCTTTCACAGAAATCAATGCATCATTAGTCAAAGGAGTTTTGTGTAACCGTATGTTATTTCCTTATTATCTGAGCAACTTTTCTTCCCTAGAAAAATAAATGGGCTGGACAACGTGATCTCAAAAAGCTTGTGCATCATAGTGGAGGATCGAAAGCTATTGTCACAGTGTAAGACCATGCATGGGATTTTACAGAATAAACAAAGCATCAAATTTCTTTCCTTTTATCATAGCAACTAATCAGTAGTATTGTAATGAATCTCTTTGATAACCTAAAAACTAGGAAAATAATCATTAATATAGTTCCAATTGGAGGGAAGGTTTCATGAAGGGTAAAAGTAATGAGGTGTTTGGTGGAGAAAGGTTGGTATGAATGATAATGATGAACTGATAGATAAATGGCTAGCAACTATCCATTAGAGGCCAGCCAGCTTCAGCAAATGTGGGCATTTTCCCCACCCATGATGTCCTAATAGCCTAGCTTTTACCAAAAATAACTGGGTGGCAAAAACTTCTAGAAGAAGATGGAACCAAGTGGTACCTGGAGAAAGCCTTGTTCCTACCATGGGTTTCTGAAGATAGCTGGTATGCTCTCTCCTCAGCCCCTGGGAAAGGGCTAGCTGTTTGGGTGGCAAAGACCTGAGAAAGTCCTAAATATAGCCGGGGGCAGGAGGCCGACTCGGTGGGAAGGCAGAGGAAGGACATTGAGTTCAACCAGGACAGGGCAATAGAGTGACATCAGGCTGCTGTTGGGGTGTCTGAGCCTACAACCCCGGCAGCAGCAAGGTGTTCCAGGCATTCCTGAGTGTGTGCCCAGAGCTGGCAAAAAAAAGGGGACAGCCTGCAGGGTGATGCAGGATGGGGTAAAGAAAGACCTCAGATGGCGGCCTGGCTTCCTGTCTTCCCAAGGGGCAGCCAAGGCTGCTTCGTATGTAGAGTGAGGCGATATCTACAACGACCCCTTAAAAATGTCACAAAGATCAAAGGAGAAAAACACCACTAAAACCACAACAGTCCGCAAGGGCACTCAGAGCACGGCCTCCTTCTGTCCTGGTAGGATGCAGGTGAGGGTCTTTTTCTTTTGTGGTCAGATAAGAGTGGCAGAGCCAGGTCTCCATCCCAGTGGAGTACCAGAATGTTCAGGGCCACTTGGGCCCCTGTGGGCTTAGCTGAAAGGCCTTCATTTCCCCCAATGTCTGCAAGTTCTTAAAACTTATTTATAGAGAGTCACTTTCAGGAGAAGCTCCACACCCAGGAAGAACCTGCTTTCCTCCTCAGCTGTCCTTCCTCTAAAACTGAGGGAATCTGCCCCTTGAGGCAAGAACACAAGCTGTGAGGGAGCTCTAGAGCACGCCTAACACTTCACAAAGTGTCTGCCACTGTGCAGTTGGGGTTACAGAGGAGGCTAGCAGGACACTTACCTCTGATGCAAAACTTAAAAGCAAAAATCAAAAATATAATAAAAATACAGGGGGCCTAGTGGGCCTAGTGGGCCTAGGGATCTAGTGGCACAGGCCTGAATAACAATTACTCAGGAGGCAGGGTCATGAGGATCACAACTTCATGACCTACGTGGGCTATAGCAAGTTCAAGGCCAGCCTGGGCAATGTTTTGTTTTATCTTTGTTTGCTTACAGAAATAGATTTGAGAAAAATTTAAAGTCAGGAAAAGTAAAATTTCCCATTAAAGTCAGGAAAGTAAAATTATAAATTGTTTTGTTATACATATGTATTTAAACCTAAAATAATGTCCTTTTTTATATATCTACTTTGCAAAATATTGTTTTCAACTACTTGAATGTTTGGGGTGGGGGGAATCACAACTTGGAAAATTACTTAAAGCCTTCACATTCAAGAAGATGGAGTAGAGATACTTGTGTCTGTTCTTCCCGGTGACTACAACTAAAAACTCTGGACATGATATGAAAACAGACAAGAAAATTCTGAAAGACAGATTGACGACGGAAGAACAACCAGGGGTCCTGAGCCCCAAAGAACAACAAAGTGGTGAGTCCCCTGGCCCAGACTCGGGGCTGAAGCCAGCAACCATGAAATGCCAGTGGGCATAGGCAATAAAGTCCCAACAGGCACTGTCGATATGGTTCAACTGGTAAAACACTTGTGTTCAACCAGGACAGGGCAATAGAGTGACATCAGGCTGCTGTTGGGGTGTCTGAGCCTACAACCCCGGCAGCAGCAAGCAGCGCACACACACACACACACACACACACACACACACACACACACAAATAAATAAATAAATAAAGTCTCAATAAAAGTCAGTTCTCTCTAGTCAAGGACCAGGAAAAGAGCATTCTAGCAAGATGGAAACACTTATTGACAATAATGGCTCTCCAGCCTGACACCATGGAGTAAAGTAAGTTGGCCCCCAAGCCTACCCAGACCAGCAAAGGCTGAATAAGGTGGTTTGAACTCCCACCCCATCCCTTGCTCAGCTGGAGGACATCAGAAGTGGTCTAATAGAGGAGTCAGGACTTTCACTACTAACCACCCTTAGGGAGACTACCAGAGGCTACCCACTGCACTTCTGGAAGACATACAAATGATGTTAATAGACGCCAAGTAAGTAACAACAAGAAGGTACCCCTTCTCTTTAGCCAGGGAGGTATCAAAACCCCAGGTTTTAGCCCAGCAAAGATGTCATTTGCTGTGGGGAAAGAGGGAGTAGTAATAAAATCTAGTGCCTAAAATATACTAAAGCAGTGTTCTATCACTGAACCTCTGTTGTTGTTTTGGGTTTTGTTGTTTTGTTTTGTTTGCAACAGAGTCTTGCTATGTAACCCAGGCTAGCCTCAAATTCACAACCCTCCTGCCCCAGCCTCCTGAATGTTGGACTTATACTTGGTATCTACTACTAAGCAACATGTCCAGCCTGAGAGGTTTAATTTTTCCTAATTACCAAAGAAGAAATTCCTACACCCACATGGTTTCAACTAGAGAATTCTACAAAACATCTGAAGAAGCCAGGCGTGGTGGCGCATGCCTTTAATCCCAGCACTTGGGAGGCAGAGGCAGGCAGATCTTTGTGAGTTTGAGGCCAGCCTGGCCTACATAGTGAGTTCCAGGACAGCTGGGGCTACAAAGGAGACCCTGTCTCAAAAAAGACAAAAAAAAAATCTGAAGAATACTTAATATCAATTTTACATAGTTTCTTCCAAAACACAGAATAGCAGGGAGCACTTCCTAATTCATTTGATAAAGTTAAACCAGACTCAGCGGGGAAAGAAAGAAGGGAGGGATGGAGGAAAGGTGAAAAAAAAAAACCCAAACATAGATTCTATATTCCTCATGAATATAGACATAAAAATCCTTAGTAAAATATCAGTAAATGGCCAGGTATAGTGGTATATACCTTTAATCCCAGCACTCAGGAGGCAGAGGCAGGCAGATCTCTGTGAGATTGGGGCCAGCCTGGTCTTCATAGCAAGTTCCAGGCCAGCTGGGGCTACAAAGAGATCCTGTCTCAAAAAAACCAAAAAAATTCACCACAACAAAATTATCAGAAAATGAAATTCAGCAATATATCAAAATAATTATATACCATGACTAAATGAGGTTCATTCTAGGAGGAAATCTGTGTCAGTATTTGAAAATTAATTATATAATCTACCATATTAACAGGCTAAGGAAGAAGCAGTCACATGATCATATCAGTCAATGTGGAAAAACATTTGACAAAATTTAACACTCACTAATGATTTTTTAAAACTCTTAGGGACTAGAGAGATGGCATACTAGCTGCTGTTGCAGAGCATCCAGGTTCAGTTTCTAGCACCCACATGGTGGCTAACAACCATCTGTAACTCCAATTCCATGGAATCCAACACCCTCTTCTGGCCTCCACAGGCATTGTATACATGGGTGTACTTATATACATGCAGGAAATACACTCATATATATATGCAATAAAAAAATAACAAAAAATAAAATAAAAATAGAAAACTATATTAGGGAGAAATACCTCAATTTGATAAAAAGCCTCTATGAAAACCTAACACCAGTTCCAAGGGATCTGGTGCTATCTTCTGACCTCCAAAGGCATTGCATGCATGTAATGTACTTACATATATGCAGGTGAAACACCCATATTCATAAAATTAAATAAATAGGGTCTCCCTGTAGCCCCAGCTGGCCTGGAACTCACTATGTAGATCAGGTTGGCCTTGAACTCACAGAGATCCACCAGCCTCTGCCTCCCGAGTGCTGGGCTTAAAAGGCATGTGCAACCACATCCAGCTAAAGAAAGAAATCTTAAAAAACAAAAAAAAACTACATAGGTCTATATTTCTCAAAAATAATGCTAATGCACAGGACTTTTTGAGGGAAACTACAAAATACTGAATAAATAAAGAAGATCTAAATAAGTAGGGAAACAGGCCATGTTCAAGGATTGAAAGACAACACAGACTGTGTTCACAGACTGAAATTTAGCAGTTCCTACCAAAATATCAGCAAAAATATTTTTTGTATATGTAGACCAGTTTATTCTAAAATTTATATGGAAAAACAAAGGAATTAAAGTAGCTAAAAACAGTCTAGGGGAGGGGAAAAAAGAACAGAACGGTGAGGAATCAGTCTATTCAAAGGCTTATTTGAACCCTTACTATTGAGCTGTAACAATGCAGACTGTGTGGTATTGTGGAAGGATCAATACAGAGAAGAGAGAGCCCAGAAATAGACTCACACAAATCTGCCCCACTGATTTTTGACAAAGGTGTAAAGGCAATTCAGGGAAGGAAAGAAAGCTCTTTCAACAAATGGTTTTGGAGGAAGTGGGTATCCATAGGCAAAAAAAAAGAAAACTTCAGTAAGTCTTGGGATTTATACAAAAATTAACTCAAAATGGGTCACAAACTTATACAATGTAACCATAAAACTTTTAGGAAACAAAGTAGAAGAAAATAGCCACAATATAGTATTGAACAAAGAATTCTTATATTCAAGAAAGAAAATATTGATGAATTAGACTTCATCAAAAGTTAAAGCTTTTTCAAAATTTAAAACTCTCTTGATAAGAAAATGTAAAGAAAATGGAAAAGACAAGCATATTTACAAATATATAGCCAACAAAGGACCAGTGTCTAGCTCTTGATGGTGGTACATGTCTTTAATCCTAGCATGTGGGAAGCAGAGGCAGGCAGGAAACTATTCCATAGATTGTTAGGTGTTACTATTGGAAGGAACTGGCATGTGGGATCTCTCGGTGGTATTATTTCTTACAATTACAGGTGAATCTACAATTATGTCAAGACAAAAGGTTTAATTCAAGGTATATATAAAGCTATGCTCAGTGGCACACAAATGTAGTCCCAGCTACTCAGGAGGCTGAAGCAGGAGGATCTTGAGAGCCAGTGAGTTCAAGGCCAACTTGGCCAACATAGTGAGACCCCCATTTCGAAATAAATAAAATAAGGATATGCATTTTTCAATTTGTCTCAAATTTCAGAGTGGCTTTGCTGTTGACAAACATTCCCCCTTTAAGTTCTGCTACAGAGCTAGAGCCCAAGGTCCTAACTGCAGAACAGACTACTCTGACAAAACTCTCCCTGAAACATCTCCAACCTCTTCACTGCCCTAACCATTCTGACTTTTGGTATCTGACCATCTCTGGCTGTTGTAAAGGCCATGGTGACCCTCTAAGTATGGTTTCGGGGTCCCTGATGTTGCCATCACTCAAGACAATCATTTCAATGCATGTTCAGAGGGTTGGATTTTTAACTAGCCCATAAGGGAATTCCTTTGCACTCCAATACCTGAGAACTGAGATGTCTCAACTCTGTCGGCAACCAGGATTTTCTGGGGGTGGGACAAGGAGTTCGAACACTGAGCCATTTTCTAAAAGGACCTTCTAAAAGGGAAAGATTGAGCAGGGACCCTGTGCCAGACCCAGACTTCCGCTTCCCCACCGCCCTTGGCTGAGAGCTCACCGCAGAGTTGGGTTCAATGAGGCGGTGCTGCAGCTTCTGGGCAGCTTCCCACTGCCCTGTGAGGCAGAGTCGCTCCAGCTGGCACACCTGGGCCCCCAGGACATTGGCCAGGGAACACATGCCCCCAACACCTCCTGCCGAGAGAAGACACAGAACATCAGCAGAGCCACTTCCCACAGAGAATCCCAAGCCCTGGGCCTTTTCATTTTGGGGACACACATGGATTTCTACACTACTTTTGGTCATGTCACAGGCATGCTCTGTGTTCCCACATCTCCAGAGAGAAAAGCTGCCTGTAGGTTCAGAATGGGAAATCTGATGATGGAAGCTACTCAGAGCTGACTGAGGGCAGGGAGCACAACATGCAGGCCATCTCTTTTCCTACATCCCATACCCTTCTGGAGTTGGTTCCCACCTGTTTTCTCCCAAGAGGACCTTGATACCTCAGAGGCTGGGGTAATAGGAGCCAATACCCTTCTGAAATCTTATTCCCCCCCCCCCATTGAACTGGGTAGTGGTAGTGGAGGGAGTGAAAGAGCTCTGGGCAGGGGGTCAGGAGCCTAGGCTATGTGATCTCATGGCACAGACCCTCTCATCTGGGTGGTGAAATGAGTTCTCTATGATCTCAAAATGCCCCACTCTGCCAGCCTTTGAGTGTGATTCTAAGGTGAGTTAGGAATGACCCTAAATACAGTGGCTTCAAGACTGTAAGAAAAAGACAGATTAGAATAAGTCAATAGTTACTAGTTACAAAAATAAATTTATTTAAAAAAAAAACAAAAAACAAAAACTATTATGGGACTGGCAAGATGGTTCATTTAGTAAAAGGTACTTGCTGCCAAACCTGATAACCTAAGTTCAATCCCCAGGACTCACAAGGTAGAAGAGAATTCCCAAAAGTTGTCCTCTGACCTCCATTTATACACTGTGGCACATGTACACACTAAAATGTAATTTTTAAAAATTTTAATGAGAAAAATTGCTTTAAAAAACAAAGAAAAAACCTACTATGTTAGGGCTAATGCCCTAATCCTCACAATACCATTTCACATTTCACAGCAGAAATTTAGGCCCACCCAGCAGGAGTTGGTGTTATGGGTCACTGGGTGAGTAAGTGGCAGGGCTCAAAGTACAGCTCCGGTGCACCCATCTCCAGAGCCTGTGATCTCTCATGTATATTCTCAGGGAAGAGCTAGAAATGGGTTCCCTCTTTTTCTCTTGCACTTTAGAGACTAGTGTGGTAAAAGGGAGAGATGCAAGGACCTCAACCAAAGCAAAGCCTGCAGAGCCCAGAGGTAATGGGAACCAAGGCTATCTCCTACAGTGCTGGAAAAGCCCCTCAAATCTCAACAGATGTTACCTGTGCTCCACTGCCCTGTCTCCAGGGCTCAATTCCACCTGAGCCTAGGGCCCCAGACTCAAAACAGACAGGAGCAATTAGTCTAGGTGGTGTTCCTAGGATGCAGGACTGGAAGAGAATCTGCAGGCAGTCAGAGATCACTAGCCCAACCCCCCAACTCTGACAGTTCATTCTGTCTGGGGCCAGGGGCAGAGGAAAGTGAACTTCTGGCCTTCTGCTCTCAGAGAATGATTTACAGGGTGAGATCAAAGGAGCTAAATTTGTCATCTAAGCATGGAATTCAGGACTTAACCTATTGCAGGCATCCCTAGAGGCCAGGATTGTACTCTGACACCCTCCACCCAATATGGCCAAGCTCAAACACCCAGGATTCAGACCCCTGCAAACCCAGCCCTAGTCTCGTGTCTCTCCCAGCAGATCCAGATGTCTGGGTGCATCTTGGTCACCCAGGACAGTTTGAGAGCAGAGGAGGCCTACCCACAGCGTAGCTGGCCAGCAGGAAGCCGGCTGACCCAGCCAACACCTGGAATTCCTGCTTGCTGGTCTTGTGAACAATCAGGCCGATCCTGGTCACCTGTAATAGTGAATGCAATGTGAGAGCTAGACAAAGAGCTCAGCTACCAGCCTAGACCAGTTGGGCATGTACAGCTGAGACACAGCCCAGTCGCCAGAGAGATGCCCTCAAGTTCGGACAAAGCCTTAGAGAGCCCATCCAACAATGAGATCCCATCCAACAATGAGATCCCAAGCAGAAGCTCAGAACTAATGGACCTGGATCTCAGAGCTGCTCTAAGTTAGAAGCTACCATGCTAGAACCAGAGAAAAGGAGGTTCTAGTCTGGGAGCTGCTGTCACTCACATCACCACCACTGTCCTTCATGCCTACGATATTCGGGTGCTGGGACAATGTGATCACCGCATCCACAGGCAGATCCAGTCCCGTGTTAGCTGGGACACTGTACAGCACCACAGGGATTGGAGAGAGGTCAGCAACCTGGGGGGCACAGAAAAGGGGGAGGCAGTCACTGAGTCCTTGAAGCTGATGGCTTGCTCCAGCCATCTCCTGAAGTATGGGTAGCAATGATGGGAAATATCTATTGTGTGCTGTCTGTATGCCAGGCATGGCTCAAAGCCTTGTACATTGCAGATGTCATGTAACCCGGAACAAGTACACGAGGCAGGTACCATTCTTCCCATTTTTAGAGGGGAAGACACTGATACAGAGAGATTAGGTAAGTGGTCCAGTGTCACACAGCCGGTACATGGTGGCACTCTACGTGTGTCCCAGAGTGGCAATTAACACAGTGTAGACTCACCAATTTACTCCCAGCTTCTCTGCCTCCTCTCCCCAGGCACAGCCTCCACTTTTACCAACCTCTTCTTGGTCCCAAACTTCGAACCCATGCCCACCCATCTCACCTACCTTGGTATAGTGGTGAATGAGGGCAGCGCTGTTCATGCGACCACGATAGTAGGAAGGCGTCACGACCATGACCGCATCAGCGCCTACCTGTGCCATGCTGACAGTCATCTCTACCGTGGCTTGAGTGGCTACAGGGGATAGAAGGGAGGGGGACGGGGGAGAAGGCAAGCAAAGGCAAAACAATAGACCGAATCCAACCCCAGGGCCAAGGAACCTGGACCCTCACAACCCAGCCACCCCAGGTCCCAGGGCATTGTGGCCTCACACTCGCAGCCAGAGCCAGCTATCAGGAGTTTGTCCTTGGGTATGGCCTGGCGCACGCGGCTCACCACCTCCAGACGCTCGAGGCTGGTCAGGAACGGAAATTCTCCAGTGGAGCCCTGGACCAGGAAGCCTGCAACAGAGCCCTGTCACTGCAACCCATATCTCCCTACCTTCTCAGGAGCGCAAGGTTACTGGTGTTTCACAGTCCCCAGGGTCCTACCTCCCCACCACGGCTTTCCAGCCATCCTTCCCATTCCTGTCCTGATGCAGGCAGAGTTCTCACCTAGTATTTAACAATATTCCCATTGTTTTCCTTTGGTTTTTTGTTTTGTTTTTGTTTGGTTTGGGTTGGGTTTTTTCTTTTTTTTGCTTATTTGTTTGTTTTTGAGACAGGGTCTCTCTGTAGCCCCTGCAGGCCTGGAACTTCCTATATAGACCAGGCTGGCATCACAGAGATCCACCTGCCTCTGCCTTCAGAGTGCTAGGATTAAAAGCATGGCCACCACCATGCTCGGCTTGTTTTTGTTTAATGAAATATTTTAGCTGTGCCAGGAAGAACAGTCAGTAATATAAATGGGCACCCACGTAATCAGCACCCATGACAGCCCTCACCACTACCTTTCAGCTGGTCTTTCTCCCCTGGCTCGTGTTCATTGTTCTCTTTCATGTCTTTATATACTCCCAACATACATAGACCCATGATCAGATCATTTATACTTCACAGAAATGGTTTGATATTTTTGTTTAGTATTATGTTTTGAGCTTGTCTGCAACAGCAGCACACAGCGCTGATCTATTTTCCTTAATATAGTGTTTCACCAGGCATGGTGGCACATGCCTGTAGTCCCAGCACTTGGGAGTTAGAGGCAGGTGGATCTCTGTGAGTTCAAGGACAGCCTAGTCTACACAGTGAGTTCCAGGCCAGCTGGGGCTACAGACAGACCCTGTCTCAAAAAGACCAATATATATATAAAGAAGGAAGAGGAGGCCCCTGCCCGCATGGAATATATATATATAGTTTAATTGTATGGTTAAAATACACTTTTCATTTTTCCTCAAGGATATTCAAACTGTTTCCTTTTTATGCTACTGTAAATGATGCTATAATGACCATTTTCTGGAAAGATCTTTTTTGCCTCTGTCTAGGAATTCCTCCTAAATTCACAGAATTAGGTATGTTAACAGTTGTGTCTGTGTGCAGCTTGTCAAGTGCCATGCTTCCAACTGATCAGTGCAGAGACCTCTTAGTGTCTATCCATGCCAACTCTTGATATTGTCAGAACTACTTTTGCCAATTTTCAAGGTGAAAAGCGGTATCTTGTTTAAGCTCTCATCTTCCTGTTTTATGAACCATTTATCAGAGCGGTTTCTAACATGTACTAGTTATATGTGTCATGTTTTCTTTCTCTGACAGCCCAGCAGAACTGATGCTCTCAGCTGAATGTGGGAGGAATGACTGTTGGTAGAATCGTGTCCATTTAGCTTTCTTTTCTTCTTTTCTGCCTTCTGTGGTGCCTTTGATGGTTAATCTCAATTGTCAATTTCATGAGATTTAGAATTACCCAAGAGACAGGCCTCTGAGCATGCCAATGGGGATTATCTTGACTAGATTCTCTAAGGTGAGAAGACCCACCCACTGTGAGCAGCTCCATCCCCTGGGCTGGGATTCTGGACTGAATAAAGAGGAGCTAGAGAGTTGAGCACACCCATTCATTGCTCTCTGCTTCTTGATTGTGGATGCCATGTGACCAGCTGCCTCAAACTTGCTCTGTCTACCCCCACCGTGATGGACTTAACCTCACAGTACAAGCCAAAATAAATCCTTTCTCCCTTAAGTTGCTTTTGTTAGGGTATTTATCAGAGTGGCAGGAAAAGTAACAGACAAAGCCATTCCATTAAAAACAAACAAAATATTCTGTAGTCTGTAGTCCCAGCACTTGGGAGGTAAAGGAAGGAGGATCCAGCGTTCAAGGTAAATTCAAGGCCAGTCTGGGGCTGCTTGTGACTCTGTATCAAACAAATAGCAAAAAAAAAAAAAAAAAAAAAAAAAAAAACTCAAACCTGAAATATTTTACAAATATAATATATAACATACTAGGATTATGAATAAAAAGATATTTGAGGGAAAAAAAAAGCTGAGAGCAGTATTCACACACAAAATCCATGCCACACAGTTGTGAGAGATGAGCCATAAGTTTAATGGGGAGCTTCCCGGCAGTCACAGCTAAAAGGGAAACCTGGTCAGCTTGCAGATATGCAGAACCTAAAAGATAGAAGCAAAGCAGCTGCCCTGGAGAAACACAGTTACCTGGCACTGAGACCAAGAGAAATTCTTCCTGTGAGTCATCTTTAAGGGGACACAGTGTGAGGTCAACTCAATTCAAACCACACACCTTTTTCCATGTTGTTCATTGAATCATTAGACTCCACTGAGTGGTTTACCAGTACCTCTCTCCCTGGGTAGTTCTTTTTTTCCCTTGATAACATTGCAAGGAACTGGATGAAAGACATAGTATTTGGCTGCAACTGGAATATCTCCTGAAATCAATTCCTGCAGGTCAGGCTGTGGGTGTCTTGCTACATGACACTGCTTTCTCAGAGAGTTAGATGATTTTGAAGAAGTTGCCCACTCAGGTGAGGTCTCCCACTTAGCCAACATTGAACCAGCTCTCAACTACAGATTTCAAAACCAAGTTGTTGCCACTTCTATTAAAATGCCGAAGTTGGGACTGGAGAGATGGCTCAGTGGTTTAGTGTACTGGCTGCTCTTGCAGAGGACCTGGATTTGGTTCCCAGCACCCACATGGCAGCTAGCAACTTTCTGGCCTCTGAGGGCACTGCATGCACACAGTGCACTTACATACAGGCAAAACATTCATACACATAAAAATAAAATAAAGGGGCTACAGAGATGGCTCAGTGGTTAAGAGCACTGACTGCTCTTGCAGAAGACCGGAGTTCAATTCCCAGCATCCACATGACGGCTAAGAACTGTCCTTAACTCCAGTTCCAGGGGAATCTGATGCCCTCTTCTGACCTCCACAGCATTGCACGACACAGGTGCACTCACATACATGCAAGCAATACACTCGTACACATAAAATTAAAAATATATATATATATATATTTGGCTCAGCAGTTAAGAACACTGACTGTTCTTGCAGAAGACCAGGGTTTGATTCCCAGCACCCACGATAGGGTCTCCCAGTGGCCCCAGCTGGCCTGGAACTCACTATGTAGACCAGGCTGGCCTCAGACTCACAGAGATCTGCCTGCCTCTGCCTCCCGAGTGCTAGAGAGATGGCTCAGCAGTAAGAGCACTGGTTGTTTTTGCAGAGGACATGGATTCAGTTCCCAGCACCCACATGGTGGTAACAACTGTTGGTAACTAAAGTTACAGGGGATCTAATGCCTTCTGGCCTCCACAGACATTGTATGACACTGGTGCACTTATATACATGAGGCAAACACTCATACACAGGAGATAAAATTTGATTTTTTTAAAATGCCAAAGTCATCTCCCAGCCTGGGCTGCAGCAGGCTTATGTTATAGTCCCTGACCCAGCCACAGTCACTTTCAAGTAAGCCTTCATCCAGTAGACAATTCCAGCAGCTCCTGGGCCCCATGGGTAGACCTGGTCTCAAGGCAGGACAGTGGTATCTGACGTCCTGGGAGGCAGCAGCAGACCCCAGGGCACAGTTTTCCCTCTGAAAGGGGGCATTGGATCCACACCTAACTCACAGGAAGAAACACAGGCTGGGAAGAGGAGCGCAGTACAGGGTGGGGGATGTGGGGGGTACTAGCAAGAGAGCAAGTCACTGCATCTCCAAGTCTCCATTTCCCTTTCTATGGAATGGCAAGTTATTGAGTCCCTCTTCATAGAGCTATTTTAAAGGCTCAGCTAGGAAAATGTCCCAGAAAGCACACCGAAGTCTGGGATCTGGTGTTCAAAGGGCCTACTCCTTCGCTCTGACTGCTTGTCCAGTTGCAGGCCCAACACATCTCCATTAAAGTCTAGAGGCCTTTTCCAGCTGAGTGGGATCTGTGGATGAGGGATGAGCGAAGTGTGACAGGGCAGCAAGGACAATGGTGAGGGGCAGAGCTTCTGAAGCCAGAGGTGCCAGGACCAGCACAGTGTGGGGCTCTAACCAACTGAGGTCTTGAGAAAATGGCTTAACCACCAGGCATGGAGGCACACATCTATAGTCCTAGCAATCACAGGCAGGAAGATCATGAGCTCTAATGCCAGTCTGGGCTGAGGCCAAACCCAGGGCTTAAACATTATGAAAGAGGTCTACCATCAAGCTACCTCTTCAGCCCTATGAAATAAGTCTATTTCAGATGCCATATCTCACCACTCTCTTGCTTTTGTGTAATTGGTCAGCCTCCAATATTTTCCTGTGATGGAACCCATTTTTTAATAAAAAAAAATTGGGGGGGGGTCCTTTTGAGACAGGGTCTCCCTGTAGCTACATCTGGCCTGAGAATCACTGTGTAGACCAGGCTGGCCTTGAACTCACAGAGTGCCTCCAGAGTGCTGGGATTAAGGTATGCGCCACCATGCCTGGCCTCCAATTAAAGAATTGTATGTTGGGTGTAGAGAGATGACTCTGCAAGTTAAGAGCATGGACTGCTCTTCCAGAGGACCCACGTTCTATTTCCAGCACCCATGTCTGGAGGTCCACAGTTGCCTGTAACTCCAGCACCAGGGGATATAACACCTTCTTCTGGCTTCCAAGGGTACCTGCATGCATGGGTACATGCATGGTGGCTAACAACTATCTGTAACTCCAGTTCCAGGGGAATTCAATGCCCTCTTCTGACATTTGTGGGCAACTGCACGACATGGGTGCATTTACACACATGCAGGCAATACACTCATATACATAAAGAAAATTTTTTAAAGATTTAAAAAAATTCACAAGAGAACTGTCTTCTTGAGGGTAGGGATCACTCATCATCCTAAAAATGCCTTTTTGGGGCCAAGGAAGAGGAGGCCAGGAGTGCCAGGCTTGTAGAAGGGCAGAGGAATCGTCAGGGCGTGTGCGAGCATGTGTGAGGATGTCAGGGATAAGCATGGGACAGAGCTTTGTGGATGGGAAAAGGACAGGGAGACAAGAACTGGGCAGGACTAGGGGACTCAGTGAGCTTTGTGAGGCAAGCTGGCTCTAACATTGCTTACTATGTCACCTCAGATGAATTTTTTATCTCTGAAACTCAGAAACCTCATTTGTAAAATAGTACATTCCTTATACAGTGATGACTTCACACTAGGCAAAGCATCTACTTAAAAACCAAAAACATAAAATTAAATGAGGTTTTAAACTTTAAAAAAGAACT